AAGGGATTGACCGTTGGTACTTAAGACCATTAGGGTTTAAATATATATGGTAGAGAGGTTTAGGGTTTAGGATTGGGTGTTTAGGGTTTAGGGTTGAGTGTTTAGGGTGTAGGGTTTGGGGTTTAGGGTTGGTGTGTAAGGTCTGTTTGAATTTACCTGCAACCCCAAGTACCCACATTTCAGTTTTAACTTTCCCCTAAATTTCAAGGCATAGTCCATAACACTGCAGGTGATTGGGGTTGCAGGTAGAGCTTAGCTTAGGAGTTCTGCGTTTTGGTCTGCTGGGATGTTTAGGGTCTTTAGGGTTTAGGGTAGGATTTGGGGGGCAGCTGGGAATCCAGGATTCCTCTGATATGATACCGCTAGGTCTCGCGTCTAATGCAGCTACTGGGTCCAAGTCTAGGTTGGAGGCCCAGAATTCGAGGTTGGACTGCCTGAAAAAAGGAGGTCACTGTTTCCACATAATACTCAGTATATTGGGGCTACATATAGGGATAATGGGTTATGTAGGGTTATATAGGGTTTATGTAGGGATAATGGAAAAGAAAATGGAAACGACTATAATGGGTTATATAGGGTTTAATCCTAAAAATTTCCGACTTTAGCTTGCAGCTGCTTGAGCTTGACGGTTGCAGCGCAGGGTTAGAGGCGGAGGGTGTCGAAAAAAATGTGCGAGCAATCTCAGGAAGCAACAGTGGTAGGCCATCTACACGCTTGCCGGATAGTTTTCTTTTTCAAGTAACTTACCATTGAGAGGCCCTAGGCAGAGAATATGGGAGCTATAAGAGGGCCAGAAGAGGATCCTCATGCAGGGGCGTTGAAGGATGAGTTGGTGGTTTCCATATATGGGGGACCTCATATAGACCCCTAAGATATTACGATCCTCATGAGAGGGACCTCCCGAAAAGGGACCCCTCAACGGGGGAAAGCCTAAAGGCCTAAACTCTAGACCTGCTGGCCCAACGAAATACCTGAATTAAACCATGAACCCCTAAACCGAACTACGGTAGATGATCAGACTCCTGCACGAGCCGAAGTACCTTATACCTTGAGAACAGCAGCATTCTGGCATACATTTGTCATGCAGGACTACTCACAGCAACATTAGATCCCCCCAAAACCTGAACCGCATGACAGGTTCCAGACTCACCAAGAAGCAACAAGCCGGAGAACAACGATCAGGATCCTGAGCTGGGCATGGCGCCGCGATTGCAAAGTATACTATTTCTCTTTAGGGAAGCTGGGGACCTTAAGGGAGGCTAGGGATATCGCGGTTTAGGGTTTAGGGTTTAGGGTTTGGGGAGTGTAAGGGAATATGGGGGTGCAATGGATTCTGGAGGGTCTAAAGTTCTGAAGGTCAAGGATGCTGTTTCTCAATGCTTGCTCTGCTGACTTGAGCTACAGTCTGAGCACCTGGTTTTCCCCTTAATAGGCGCTAGAATGCTCCCCTTATATAATCCCCTATATAACCCCCTTTTCAGGAGACTATAGCTCATATACAGAAGTGTTCACAGAAGGATCTTGGCTGTCTACTTCTGGGCCAAAGAAAACTGTGAGGCTCCGAGTCATACTATATCAGGATTATATGAGCTATGGTCGAAACTCCATATATTCCTTTGTTAAACCCTTTCATGCTCCCAATATATTTGCCCATATAACCCCTCGAAGGAGTCTAGACTACAGCTCACGTAGGGCCAGGTTTTAGGGTGTATGGTTTAAGCCGGCTGTCAATGCAGATCTACAGGGAAGCTTGGATTGAAGCTTTTGCTTGCCGGCTCTTGATTTGTATTAGAATTCGCTAAATCCTGAACCTTGGCCCATCCATGCCCATCCATCCATTGCAACAAGCATCCTAATAGGGCCTATAGCGTTTAGGGATTGAGGTTTAGGGTTTGGTGTCCTGAAGCACGATATACAGTAAAGCTGTCATGCCAGGCAGCTGGATTGGAAAAGGTACCGTTTCGCAACGAAGCCCTAAACCCTCAAACCCTAAACCGGCGTGCGAGCATTATGCGTCACGCATTTACATATGTACATAGGTGTATGTGTGTGTATGTGTGTGTGTGTGTGTGTGTTCATTTGGTTGCATGATCAGAGGTGAGTGTATACATCTCCTCAATGCAAGTGCATGCCTGTAGTCTACCCTCTTTCTGAAGTCATGGATACTACCGTCCTGGATATAGAGTGAGATAATTTTTATCGTCTGAGTTGCACGTATTGCACTTACATGAACATAGCTTTACTGACTTTACTGGATTCAGCCAGCAGAAAATGATTCAGGAGAAAGCAGAGAAGGACCGTCACGACAAGTGGGCCGTGAACTCCAAGAAGCTCGTCCTTCTCGCAGATATGTATTGACGATTTATGTGTAAAATGCACTGGGACACACAGGGTCAGGGGATGAGGGCTTCTCTGCATTCCGCTTCTTGAGTTGTGTGCCGGAGGATTTAGATTTTCGAGTCTGTGGTCTGGGTGTTGGGTTGCGCAGTGGGGTTTTAGAAAGTGCGACAAAATCGTTAAGCTTTTCCCAAAAATGTGTGTCTGTTGTCTTCTTAGCGGAGCTGCTTCAGGACATTCATGTCTTGAGGCATGGAGGAAGCACCTATGTGGCCTTGTAAATCCCCAGTTTCCATCCCTTTATTCATGTGCCTTTTTTCTCCGACCTGGCCGTAAACCTTGAAGATCTTTAGAACTCTAACCCCTAAACCCCTATAAGCCCTGCACGGCCTTGCTGAGCATGCACTTGTACTCAAGCAGAAAGACCGCAGCATCGTACAGGCCTTCAAGGATTGCATTAATCACATTGATATCAACCCTCCCACCTCGCCCCCTTAAGAGTGAATTCGCACACCCTCCCCCAATATAGAATGGTACTACTTTGGATGCGTTTTTTTAGGGGTGTGGGCTGGCTATTCGTAGAACCTTAAATAAACCCCAAACCCTAACCATGCCTAGACAGAGGGGGATTAAACGTTAAACGTTAGCCTTTCTGCAGTCTAAAGCTGGAACGCATATCTAGAGTCTTGCCCAAAAAGGGCCTAGGGTTTACAGGGGTTTTTAGGTTTTATGGAGTTTAACGGGTTTAAAGGGTTTACGGTTAAAGGTTTAGCCCACTTGTCCCCATTGCATTTTGGCTACAAACATTCCTGCAAAGCCCTTTAATTAAAACAGCTCCTAGACCCCGAACCTACACAGGGCACGCGACCTCAAACGTGCTGGCTGTCAACATGGAAGGGTGGAATGGGTCTCATCAGTAGCCCCTGTACAAGCCCCACTAATCCATTGCTGTTTCCATGTAAACCCTAAACCCTAAACCTTGATTGGCCATTCCATCAGTCCCTAGCGCAAGCCCGAGACCCTAAACCCTTCCCAGATAACCACTATCAAGTAAAACATTGAGTTATATGTTCTACGCCCTTACTAAAACTCTATATGCTTCCATAAGCCCTAAACCTTGAATCCTAAAGATCTCTCTACACCATAGGATGAACATCCCCAAGACGTTTACCGATATGGCTCGCTTCAATGCCTCAGTGATGGGCGTAGGCGAATGGGACTACGGGGTTGAGTTGGTCTTGGATCTACAGTGCATAGATAGGGATCACATATAGGGATTATATGGGTATAGGGATCATATACATAGGGCTTATCTGGGTATAGGGATCATATATGGGGATTATATGGGTGTATCGGGTTAGGGTTTGCGGTTTTGCAGGTTTACGAAATAGTGAAGCATCAAATGGACAAGCACACGTAAGATTGGATTGAAAGCGGGTTCGTTTAAGGGCTTATAGGCATTATCCTGAATGTCTGCCTTTCAGTACTTGGGTTTTCAGTTTTCGGGTTTACACGCTCAGGTTTTAAAAGGATTTACGGTGAGTTGCAGCGCTTTGGCTTCAAGACTTTCTGGTATGCCTCCTCAACTATATGCGCTAGTCTTGATGATGCGTATGGTCCCAGAGTGAGTCACTACAACCTCTTATTGGACATGGTAATTAGCTGGTTAGGAAGATTACACACACGCACACACACATACCCGAATACATTTCAACAGGTATTTATATTCATATTCATATGTAATTACATATACACATGTGTATATGCCTACTTGCTGGGTTCAACCAATGCACAGGCACGGCAAATATGTTCTTGTTGACAGGACCCCTAAGAGAAGCCTGTTCTTTAGAAGCACTGATATTTCTGTCTCTCAGCAATCTTGGGTCCCATTTCGAAAAGCAAGAGCTTTTTGTAGGTACATGAGCTCGAAGTTTGAGAAACTCAGGAAGTCAAGAAGTGTTCACGAAGCCCTGTATTCCTGAAGTCAGTACTCGCTTGTGCAAGCTTTTCACCCTGAACTTTGCATCCTCTTTGGGTTCCAGGCAAATCGTTGTGAATGTCACTCCCTCTAGCTTTCCTGTTTCGAGGGCGGACTATACCTCGAAGAGTTTTGGAACCGGTTGTGGGTCGCTCAGACTCTTGCGTTAGTTCAGGTGATCGGTTTTGGTTCGCAGACATGCTCTACGCCATGGAATCACTGGTCCCGCACGTGGGCAACATCGACAGGAGCACATGGTCATGGTGGAAATATTCATGAAACCATTGCTTTGTGCATCGAATGCAGCCCCTGGAACTGCTGGGCTCATGAGGCGGATTTGGGTAAAGATCTGAGACAGGAACCAGCCCAAGCACAGCCTAAAACCTAAACCCTAAAGAATTGCCCATCAATCGCGGGGGGACATTTGTTGATGATAAGGGGAGGTGATTCATTTGGTCTCTCATGCTCTGCCAGAGAATTCGCCACACCCACTTGGACTTTTTCTCCTTGGTCCTGGCCTTTCTGTGCGTTTGTGAAATGTGGATGCGCGCGACGAAATTGGATTTGCCACGCGGCCAACGAGCCCAAAAGCCTTTGAAATATTCATTTCAGGCTTGGGGCTCACATCCTAGGGCCCCTTGAGGAGCTGTCAAGCTTTCCACGATCAGTGATTGTAGACAGGCCTCGAGAGTTTGATTGTCATGGGTTAGGTGGACTCCTCACCCAGTAATAGTGACTGTAATTGATAATAAGGATTATATTAGGGTCCTCTTCTATCCCCACTATTACAGGGTGGGGGGTCCTTCTACGTCATACGCAAGTTAGAGCCCTCGCAATTCAAGTGTATCAATAAGAACTACTCTGGGCCCTAAAGTCCTTACGTTTGCAAATGATACCTACTTGGGCACAAAAGTCTTAGAGTCGATTAATTGACGCCTGCTCTTTGGGCCGATTGGATCCTTAGGGTAGTGGCTCCAAACCGATGAGGAAGCCCTGTTTTCCTATTATAATCACCTAGTTGAAGTTCCTTAACAGCAACCTAAATCCCTAAACCCTAAGCCCTAAACAGGATGCAGGAAGAATGTGACGTCTTGGCCTTGACATTGGCCCGTTACGACAAGGTCATTTGGCGGCAGTCAGCTACGCCCTTGCCTGCTTTAGGGTTCAGGGTTTAGGACCGACATCCTGGCTTGATGTCCCAACTCCTTACTGGGGCTTAGTAGGGAATGTAGGGATATGGTCTTTAGGCATTACATAGTCCCTTTTTCCCTACTCAGCACCAGCCAGCATCTCTTCAGTTTGAGAACTCGTTGGCCCATCCTGCCATTCTGATTCGATCGTATCCACTCATTCCTACAGCCCTGAATCCTAAACCTAAGCCAGTTTAGGGTTCAGAGGGTTCAGGGTTTAGGGTCAGTACCTGCTAAGGTGACGCTCAGTGAGTTCAAGTCCGTGATGTTCGCGTCTTTGAGGTCCTTGCTTCCGTCTCGCTGGCAACTCGGCAGCCTTGTTTAGGACTTTGCGGAACTACTGGGACGATTCCCTAAGAGTCCAAGGACCCAAATAATAGGGTACCTTTAAAGGGGGTTATAGGGGGATATCTAGGGTTTTTGGGGGACTATATAGGGGTATATAGGGCCCAAAGAATAGGGCCCAAATACCATTAGTATTATAGTATTTGGGCCCTAAAGCCCTATTATTTGGGTCCTTGGACCCTTAGGGATTGTCATGAGTTTCTTGGGTCTGTGTGCTGCCAGTTTATGGCACACAGTTGGAAAACAAGGCAAGCCGTTTTATTGTTTCTTGGACTGAAGAATTGCCGTCATGGTGTGCTCTGTGCTGCATCACATGACTATAGGGATCCAAGTGTACAAATACTGCCTACATTGGGCCGTACAAAGCTCATAAATGTTACCGACATGGGGCTAGTTGGATCCTTAAAGGATTGTTTGGATGCTGAGGTGAGCTGGATTCGTCCACCATCCTTTGCAAGAGTTCTCACAGACATTACGAGATGACAGCCTCATCCCCGAATCGAGTTCATGGGTTCCCCTACTAGCCCCTCCCGCCTCACCCCTATACTACCCCGCGGGGAAACCTAGGGGGTGGGGGTAGTATAGAGGGGGGTAGTAGGGGAGCCCATGACGAACATGTTGTTACAACATACGCCTAGCAAGGGTCATCGTTTTTTCGTCCTTATTCAGTGCAAATTTCAGTCAGGGTCAGCAGCGTCATCACGCCCGAAGCCTTCCAAGAAAACGTCATACAGTTTGATTTGCTGTCTGCGTGCGTATCAAACCCGTTTCCCGCCTTTTTAGCTGGCCTGGCAACGCGAGGGAGTACAGGTATAGGGGACTTTGGCTTAGGGCAATGGAGGGTCGGCGCTTGATGAGCTTGTGGATAATGATCACTGGTCCTATGGTAGCGAGTACGGTCCCTGCTACTGACGTTCTGTTTTGACCAAGTAGCTGAGGAACATGGAGCACGAGAATGCTTGGACTTGGTTCTGGGAGTGCGTTGAGAAGAAGGTGGAGGCAAATCGTCAGTTTCCATCTCAGCACCTTGGCTTCCAAAAGAACACTCGTGGAGCAACGCTTGGGTTTATGCTACATGGCTGGTGTGGTCACGAGCTTTGCCAAGAGACCATGATGCGAGGTACCACCGTTGCTTGCGCAGCTTCTTATCCCGGCTGGACGACGCTGGGATTCCACAATGCCCAGAACATGGTGAATACTACATGCCCAGACCCTCAAAATACTTTTTCTTATGCCCCAAAAGCCCACTGTTGGGGACAATAAAGCCCCAAGGTAAGGGTACTAAGAGGGTCCAGGCGTATGAGCCTTGAAACGCATACAGCAGCCAACTGAGCCCAACTATCCTCCCACTTGCCTAGCGAGGTCTTGCATGCTTTAGGAGGGACCCTTCGTTGGAACCCCTACAGATTATGGGGGTAGACGGATCCCCTGCTTCCATCTCTTTCTCCCCTGCCAAGCAAGTGCAGCTTGGATACTGCCCAAACTGAGTAACAGTACCGTACGAAGTAATGTCAGTTTCTAAGGCGCTTAATATCACCCTCATTGTAAGGTGCTGGGTGGGAGCAGAACCCAAACTATAGGGATGACAAGGACCTAGCTCAACGGAGCATGTTGGACATTCAGCAACTGTTTGGTATAAAGACGGAAGGGCCCTACGTGGGCTACGCGAAATCGTTGTGTTACCTGCGCTGGCAGCCCACGCTGGGGGCCCGAGGAGCAGTCTGATATTGTTCCACCACCTACAGGAGCCACGCAGCATCCACGGCCTGCCCAACATTTTATGCAAACCCATCTTTAGCTGCAACAGTAGTTAATTAATCTGCGAAGACTACGCGGACAAGGTGAGCTGCACAATGCTGCACATGCCTTCAGTGCAGACATGCCACGTGCTCCCATGAAGTAGGGACTTAGTCATCCCACCCTCCTTCGTGGTGCCAAATGGTAGGAAAAATTGGAGTGCCCATGAAGCACTGTAAAGCCTGGATGTGGGGCGGTTCTTTGCTTGCCTTGAGCTGGAGGGCTGAGGGGTGAGAGAGTGGATTACCTTCAAGGCTGGATGATGGGCGAATCAAGGCACATCCACTATGGGCTGTTAGACCCTAAAATTCCCTATTAGGACCCTATTAAGGGTAGATTAAGGTACCCTTAAGGTCTAATAGCCCCTCGCACATTCTGGGCTTGCTGATACTTCATACATGCGCTGTGCGCTCCTCTACCCATCCGACCTCAAGCGCTGTCAAGAGCCCCAAGCCGTGACCGCAGACCAAGGGTTTAGGGTTCACTCTTCATGGGAAGTAGCACAAGCAGCAGAATCAGGATCAGAGTTCTTTTAGTGGTGTTTTGCCGGAATAGGTCCATGCCGAAAACTTGTTGCTGGGGCAGATGCGACCAGCGCTTCCAACGCAAAACTTTACCCAGAGCTCTCCGTCTGCAAAGCTCCAAACTCGCTAAACTGAGTCCCTGAGCCTTGCCAAGGAAGATACCCTGGCTGTTTTCAAGCTGGAAGTATTTGAGACCTTCTTCGCGAATAGCGAGCAGTCGCAGCTGTTCCGCTGAGGACAGTCAGAACCTGTTTTTGCTTCCCTGCGTTCAGAGAGGGTGCAGGGGTATGGTTCCCTGGCTTGGGAGGGCATTCCACATTCCAGGTTTTTGCGTGCGGCAAACAAGCGTCTCCAATACATCATGGGCCGGATCCTTACTATTATGGCGGACATTTACACCAAGACGCACGATGCCGTCATCGCTATCTCAGCGCTGGGCCTCCTGCATGCCGCTGGTCTTCAAAGAAACCCACTGGTTCTTAGCAGGGAATAAGGGAATATTACACAACATCTCTATAGAATGTGTATATGAATTAAGTATTAGCCTATTCCCTTCTGAGAACCATCAAGTATACCTTGCTACGAGGATACCATTTCATTCATCTCAGGGGCGATCTGTTAGGGTGATAGTATCTTAGAATAAGCCCTATCCATGGCCTGGGGGGGACTCTATAGTACCTGGGGTGTATGTAGGGTCTAGGGCTTAGGGTTTATTATATGGCCTTGCTAAGGGGGTGTCCGGAATCAGGTCAAAGCACCTTGTTTATATTCTTGGCTGTTCGAAATGCAAGCCTCTCTTACAATTACCCATGCAGCCTACAGTACTAACACCCCTGGCGTCGAGTAAGCTAACGCTCGCAGTTTGGGGTTCCAAGAGGAAGCTCTTCCATCCCAACAAGGAGTCAAGGAGCCCCTCGACATGCGGTAGGGTCCACTGGGTTATCCTGGCTGTAGGACATGGATCCTAGCATGTTCAAGTAGCCATTCGTTCGTCTATTTGTTATGGGACAACAAGCGCTCAAGCATCCAGGCGCACATTCCCCAACCGCAAGCCCTAAACCCTAAAGCAAAAACCCCAAAACCAAACTGAGGCTGGACATGGAGTTCCGGAAGATCTTGTGCGGCCTTTTGTGGCCTCCTGCATGGACGTGATCAAGAATCACTGCCCAGCTACTCAGCACCTTCAGAGCTTAGGGCGCTCAAGGCTTACCCAAGTGGTTCCCCAGAGAGCCCAATACCCCTTAATTACCGAATGCAGCTTAAATCATATTAGGTATCCTAGTACCATTTAAGGTATATTCCTCAATTAAGGGGTGTTGGGCTCCCTGGGTCTAAGTTTACGAAGAGTAGTTGCTCGGGGCCGGCAAGTATGTAAAACGAATACTTTCAGGGTTATTTGAGCTACTGTCTAAACTCCTAGTATCCCCCTTAACAAGCCCTATAGTAGTCCCCTATATAATCCCCCATATAACCCCCCTTTAAGGAGTTTAGACTATAGGTTATTTGGTGGCGTAGAGGGATGAGGCGTCTAGGCGTGAGGCTCCCAGGCTTGATACAGAGGATACTGTTCCGGGTTTAGGGTTTAGGGTCCCGTTTAGGGTTTAGGGGTTTAGGGTTTAGGGGTTTAGGGTTTAGGGTTTAGGGTCCCGAAACCCCAAACCCCAAGCTTGGATATACAGCTGCCCTGAAACCCAACTTGTCGCTCTGCGTAGCACTTTGGGTGCTCCATGTGGAGCTCCTACCTCAAATCGAAACGGATGACCCGAGCGAGCATTCCCAAGCATAGGGCCCCCGTTAAGCTTGGAGATTTGCAAGAGCAGTGGCCAAGCATGTTTTTTTGCGGGGTAAGCTTGTTCTCCAACAAAGCTGCTGAGATTCCTGTAAGAAAAATGCGATAGACTGTAAAGGTTATGGCTAAGCAACAATGAGTTTAGGGGGGGTTATGCGTCAGTTGTGGAACCCTAAACCCTAAACCCTAAACCTTAACCACAAGAAGACAGAGGATGATAAGCCCCCTTCGCCACTTTTCCAAGGACACGTCCCTGCATCAAGGAATTTGGTGGACTTTGGACTTGATCGGAGACTTGGATTTCAGGGTTTAGGGCTAAGGGGATTTGAGGGTGAAGGGCTTCAAACTCTAAGGTTCAAGAGTTCAAGGGTCTAGGTCATTATGGTCTACCTTCAACCTCCTATGTGGTTCCCTTTTGGGTCGTAGATTGTAATCCCTTATCCGAAAACCATAGCAAGCCGAAAAGGAGCTACCTAGGAGCCCTTGATTAAGGCTGTCGGAGCCTACGGGTTGGAGATCTTCTGTCCCCTTGGGAGACAATTGTGCTTTTCCTATAATAAAACTCAAAGGGGGTTTAGGGTTTAGAGTTTAGGAACTATTAAGCTTGTTTTTGAAGGCAAGTGTGAGGGGATTGCAGAGGCTTCCTGGTTGTGATTTGATACTAGTGTGGATTTTGGTCGCGGAAGCTTCTTGGGCTTGTGCATATAGTCCGCTACCAGACTGATTTAATGTTAGGGGTTGGGGGGGGTTTAATATTAGGAGGAGAGGATTAACATGGGAGCTTGAGGGGCCCAGCCTGAATCTAGCATGCAGACACAGCACCAGGGCTTATGTCGCGTGGCTTGGACGTGGTGGCTGTTCCGGTATGTCTCGAAGACGCTCAACAAACCGCACGCTTAAAGCCAAAACATGTTCACTCCCTGGTAGAGATTTTGAGGGAATTCAGCATAATCCCTAGATAGTACTTTTCCTGATTCCCTCCCTAACCCTATTCTCTACTAAACCTGAACCCTAAGCCCTCAACCCTATATCTTCACTTATTCTCTACTAACCCTAAACCCTAAACCTTATATTTTCCCTTATTCCTTGCTAAGCCTAAAACCTAAACTCTGTATCTTCCCTTATTCTCTACTAACCTCCCTAAACCTTAAACCCTCAACCCTAAATCCTAACCCCCGGGAAGTTCAGGAAGAATCTTCATCCGCACCCTGGCAGAAGGCTCAACGCCGGTGATGCTCGCAACTTCCCGGAAAGTGCAAGTACTTCAGGGTTTGGACATACAGGGTTTGGGTATTTAGGGTTCAGGGGGTTTAGTTACGTTTTAGGATTTAGGGGTTGAGGGGTTCAGGGCCCAGGGTTTCAGGTTTTGGGGTTTCAGTTTTTTCTGGCTCAGGAAAGTGAGGGCGTAGACGGGGTTCTTTGCTCGAGGAATGTGTAACTGAAGTTGAGCAGGGTCCTTCCTCTGAACCAGATTCAATTTTCAAATTCTTCTGCAAGGAGATTTTTCCGCGGCGTGTAAGATCGGAAATGACTTCTTGACGGCTGTTGTTTGTAACATGGTTTCCTCATTTTCAGTGTACAAAAAGACTAGAATGGTAAAAAGGTGTCTCTGAGCATTGAGGGCATCATTGTGCATCAAGGTCCTTTCAGGCTTTCTACCGTATAAGCGAGCTCAGGTCTGGGCAGTTCTTAAGTCTTCTAGTCCAAACACCTTGTCTTGAGAAGGTGATTGACTTCATGCATATGAGCCCTAAATCCGTAATGCGCGTGGCTTCTCATGCAATATTACAAGATTTCAGCAAGTGTGTAACCTTAATGTTTATGACCTCAGGTTCCGGGTCCCAAATACCCCAAGTAAGGACTACACCGGCTATACCTCCCAGGCTTGAGGATTCAAACCAACGGTACCAACCCTATGAAGGTACTTCTAGATCCTCTGAGGGGTTTTGGGGTAAGGCAATCAACCGGAACAACGCCAACGCGCTTCAAAAGGCACTTAGGGCTGATGTCAGGGGTTTAGGGTTTAGGGTGTCCAGCCTTTCTGGTGGGTGCAGATGAGGACTGCGAATTTGAAGCTTAGGCAGTGTCACAGTTGAAGCTGTCGAGTCCTTGTAGGGTTTAGGGTAAGTCACATGGTGGCCGCTATCATAGCGGCTGGGGTAATTCAAATCCATATGGGTACTTCCCAAAATCAGGATCCCATCTTGGCACCCCTAAATATTAGGTGCCGAATTTTAATCTGTAACCAAAAGGGGCCATAGTTTTGAGAAATTTGAGAAATCACCATACGTATATAGATATATACACATGTATAGATAATCGCTATGGCCCATGTAAGGCCTAATTGGAGGCATAGGACCGCAACAACCCTAATCTGAATATTAAAGACCCCTTGTATCAGACCCTAGGTTCCGAGACTCTGACACAGCCGAAGCTTTGCACACTTCGGGCAAGTCAACGGCTGAACGTTCAAGCCCATAGGAACCGAACTTCTGAAACCAAAGCCTTAAACCTTAAAAGCCCTGAATTCTACACCCTAAACACTGAATCCTACACCCTAAATCCTTCCAAACCCCTCAAACCTCAAATCTAGCCCAAGGCTCAAGGACTCCAGCAAGAGGTCCCGAACCCCAACTCCCAGTTCCGAGGGTTTAGGGTTCCCTAAAAATGAGGTGTAGCAAGATCTCTCAACCTTTACTAGGATGAGTGCTCTAAAAGCTCAAAAGTTGCGGGGGCGGGGGGGGGGGACTTCAACTCTTGACATTATGACCGTCATGGTTGCAGTGTTGTGGTCTTACCAGAGTAGACCGTGTTGATACATATACATGCATGTACATACGTACGTAGGTACGTATGTATGTATGTATGTATGTATCTATCTATCTATGTATGTATCTATGTATGTATGCATGCATGTATGTAGCCGTCAAACCGATAGGCTCTTCCCTGGCTCCTTCATTTCTTGTATTCATAGACCCCCAGTTTCCATCCCATGTCCAGCCCCTGTATACACCCCTGTATAACCTGAGCTTCCGTCCATGTTCTTTTCCAGCTGATGCTCCGCTATTCTAACTATTTAGGTTCCTGCGTTACTTGGACCGACATGGTATCCTGCAGCATTTATACAAACCGATGAAGGCCCCGATGGTAGGACAGGAAACTAATATCTCAGCCCTTAGGCCCTAAACCCGGACCTCTCCGCACGTGAACTCTTAAGCCTTAAAGCCGAAAACCTCAATCCTAAACATTATATCTTAAACCCTCAAACCTAAATCCTGGACCCTAAACCTGCTCTGTTTTGTTGCTGGACCTTAAACCCTAAACTTTGAATCCTAGCAGGCTGTTGCTTCGTCGCCACGAGGGGAACGTGAGCTCTTGCTTCTCAAGGTCCAGGTCGGTACCGAATCCATCTCCCCACTGACCTTGGGCTTGGGATTATCAAGGGTTTAGGGTCTAGGGTTTAGGATTATGAAGGGTTTAGGGCTTCATGGTTTTAGGGTTTCAGGTCTAGGGTTCTGGGCTTGGGGTTGTTGAGTTTAGGGTGCTTAGTTTTGGGGGTTGAGAGTTCTGGGATGCAGGCTGTTGGCTCTTGCTGAAGCTTAGGGCTTTGGGATTTAGGGCTTTGGGTCTGGTTTTTTTTGGTTTAGGGCTTTGGGTATTGGATTTCGGGTTTAGGGCTTTGGGCACTGGATTTAGGGTTTAGA